AGCGAGAAATGTTTACCACACAAGTCGCGCTCTTGAAATAGTTGACTCCGAAAAAGGTAATATGTCGCCTAAATTTGAACTGGAACCGCAACGTAATATTGAAGCGGACGTCTTTGATTGGCTGAGTAAAAACAGCGAAACGTCGGACAAATATACTGCATATTATTTGGAGAATAACACAAGCGTATGTGCTAACACAGCCGAGCTTCATAGTATAACAAACGGCGAAACTGCCTCCAAAAACAACGAAGAAACTTTGGGAATTACACCAGAACGAGACACAGAAATGGCGAAGGATAAAACGGGGACAAAGTCGTACTTCAACGCGTTTAAAAACGCCATTTTTCCATTCGAGGGAAAGTATTTCTACTTGAGCGGAGAACTGAATAACCAGAAAGTCTCTCTAACCGAAACAACGAAGACTATTGGCGATAATTCAGCACATTTGATGGAAAAGACAAAGATCATTGGGGATAATGCAGGACGTTTGATGGATAAGACGAACTGTGATGATGATAGATACAAGGAGATTCTTGGGGATAGGAAGGGTGACAATGCGACTAAAACGACCAATAAGAAATGGGAGATTAATGGGCTTAAAGATACAAAAGTGTACCACGAGGACCAACGTATGAATACTGAGGATAAGAATGGATACGTAAGGTGTCAATATGGATGCAACAAAGATAACATGACGCCATTAAAAATCAATCTCAAGTCTGATACATACTCTGAGAGCCAGCAGAAAGAGATCAATAGATTGCGAACACAAATTGAGAAGCTCTCCACCTTCGTTGAAAGTTCGGACGAACGCCGGGAACAGTCGGAGGCACGGCTAGCTCAACAAAACGAAGAGCTGCTAAAACACATACGCCAAAACAAGGTACTTGACAACCGAGTGTGCTGTCTTGACGAACTTCGGCGCAATTTACAGCGCAAAGTTGATGAGATTTCTGAGGAGGATAAATCACTAAAACTTGCTTTAAAATCAAGCGAGGAAAAACTCATTGAAGAAAAAGAGAAGGTGCAAGTTCTCAAGCAAGAATGTTCAAGTGAAAATGCAAAAAATGTCGAGTTGGAATTAGTTTTGCAAACAATACGCGAAGAGTTAGGATGCCCATCTCCCGCCAATAATCAAAAGTCGAGCGATTTATTCCTGGGTACGAGGAAGAGTCACGATGACCTCGGAAGAGACTGGGCCGAGGGGTTAAATGAAACCGAAAGCAATCTATCTGCACGACACGTAGAAAAGAAAGTCCGTTGGGGTGACGTACAAACACAAGAAATTAAGAAGCCAACCCAGAGCGCTCATTTCAACGCGGAACAGCAACTTTGGGGTCCGAGTACAAGTAGCCCCCAGCCCGAGGCAGAAACAGCACGTCCGCCACAATATTCTTGTTTGAAGCAGCATCCTAGCGAGGAAGCGCTGTGGAAACGAGAAAAGAAACAGTTCGAAGGTAAAATCATGTTACTTGAAATGGACAAGAAGAAACTGCGGTCGGAGATGGATCTTTTGGAAGCGACGATTATCAAAGAAGAGACTACTGCACAAACTTTACGTGAAAATAACGAAGTTCTAGAATTTCGTATTCTTGAACTGGAGTATGAATTACTGGAAAAGGCAAAGAAACAATAACATGAGTTCAAAACTCTATGAAGTAGTTATGCAACAATGCTTGTTCACGAAACTGTCTAATTATACATAATGTCAGGTGGGTTAAATTTAGATAACTATATGCTTTTCCTATTTTGTCGCGAGTATGATGATGGCAAAATAGTGCATAGTATGTCCTATAATATATAATTCAATAGCCATTGTGTTTGCATACTACAACCTTGTATAACGGGACTGTTTCACATATAATAATAGCGAGGTTTAGCAAAGACGACGCGACGTCAACGAGGACGTGAAAATGGCGTAAAAATGGCGTGATATGCCCATCTATGGATGTGCCCACGCCATTTTTACGCCATTTTCACGTCCTCGTTGACGTCGCGTCGTCTTTGCTAAACCTCGCTAATAATAATTACAAAGGTTTTGTATAGTACCTATGTATAACGATGAAGCATTTTGTAGATGAAGATTTCGAGTGTCAATTTTATGCTTTTATCTAGATCTAACCAGGAGCAGTTGTGAAAAATACAACTATATATTTTCATATTTTTTTTCCAACCTCGGGATTTTTCATTTTTTTTTTCCAACCTCGGTATTTTGAAAAAATTTTCATTTTTTTTTCCAACCTCGGAATTTTGAAAAAATTTTCATTTTTTTTTTTCCAACCTCGGAATTTTGAAAGGTCCTCTGGCAGGAATCGAGCCTGCGATTCCATCTACAACATGTTTCAACACTATAGTTGAATCAAGTGAGATATTCTGATATGTACCTATAATATGTATAATCATACTACGAAACGTTATTTTATATATTAAAATACCAAATTACCAGCCTTTGATTTTGTTTATTAACACACTCAATGCTTGTCCAAGCACAACTGAATATAGAATATAGAGCACACCACACACAATCTTTTCTCTTATAAAAAAGTGTAAAACTCTTTGCCGGTGACTTTCTAAACTTATAAAAGCACAGTGAAAGAACGTGTGTTCTAGTAAAACCTAAAAAACTACTCGAACCTGACTTCACACTTATCCTATCGCCCATATCACAACGCTGGCAACAGCTAGTAATGTAATCTATATCCAACATTTAAACTTAAAGAATTGTTGCAAATCAGGGTCATCGACATTCTTCCCGTTTACTTGAGCATAAATCTGCATCAATAACTTACTGTATTGTAACTTACTATCAAGAATGTCCACGTATTTCTCTAGGACAGAGAAACCCATCACTTTGCCCAATGCTATCATGCTTGGACCTAACCGCGGATCGTCCAACTTCTCGTGCTTAATCAAGAGTCGCGCAATTTCGCCATGGAGATACGCGTCATCATAGGTCAAGGGGTCTGGGAACGGATACTTCGAATACACCTCAACTGCTCCTAAGGGATCCGATTTAACCAGGATTTCCCCCAGTTCTATGTACGCGTCATGAAGGTTGGGTTCCATAGTGATGCATTCTTCGTAGAATCTTCGGACGGCGTCGTGATCCGAACCTAACCGGGTAAGGACACGGGCCAACCCGAGACGTGGATGGTAGGACTTGGTGTTCGGTGGGCCAACCGCCTCCTGGGGGGTAGACTGTGAAGTGGGAGGGTTTGGGTTTGTGGGCGGTGGAGTTTGTTTAGAAATGCCTTCCGTTTTAGTGTGGCTACAGGAACGACAAGGTGCTTTCCCAACTGTCGGCTTCGCTGCTGGAGCTATGTAGTAGAAAATTTCTACGTTGAAATAATGTTGCGTTTTTCTCGCGAGACGAAAAACATATTCAGAGAAAGAGGGCAGAGATATGGTGCACCTCATAAGGAAGTAAAAAGTAGAGTTTTTTGGCAGAATTTTCATTTCCCCTTTGTCGCTTCATATTTTCGCCGCAATAAAGTAGAGCTGCATGACAGCGGTGGAAAATGGAGCGGAATGAGTACGAAAATCTTGTGGACACCGACAATATCATTGAGAGATTTTATATGACTGACATGGACTTATCTAAAATTTGTCTAATTATTTTATTTCTTACTAACCTGACTGTTTCGGAGCACTTGTTCGAGCCGTTTTCACGTTGCTGGTTTTTGCAGCCACACTTGTCTTTACTGGAGCTGCTTTTGAAGCTGGTTGCTTGGTTTGACCTCTCGTCGTCGTCGTCGTCGTTGTTGTAGTCTTTACTGGAGTACCACGACCTTAAGATAAAGTAGATGTCATATAAATAGCTATCAGGACGGTGACACCCTGATCAAACGAGAGTTTATGAAAGTTGCAACTCTCGTTCGGGTTTGACCGCCAGCTCTCATCGACTCTCATCAACTTTGAACTGGTTCAAATTCTGATGAGAGTTTTAGCCGCGCGAGCTGTATCCAGTTAACTCTCGTACAACTTTTGTTCTCGTTTGACAGGGGCATGAGAGTTAAGAACACTCTCATGCAAACTCTCGCTTCTCAAATCTCATCAATTCTCATTTGACCAGGGCTTTAAGGTGTCTGATTATCATTTCCCCTCAGTCACATCTGAGAAGAGTGCTTCCAGTTTGACCAGGGTTTGACTCTACCAAACCCAGCAGGTACTTCGTTTTCCCAATCAGTAACACTGGACCAATAAAGGATGACCCTTACTGGACCTCCAGGTGGAACAGTTTAGAACTATTAGAACCATCCAGCATGAACAAAGTTAGTTTACGTTCCTTCCTGTAGTAACATTGGGTCAATAACGGCTGGCCCTTATTGGATCTCTAGAAAGAGAAGTTTAGAATTGATAGACCTTACCTCGTCCTCTGCTTGTCGTGCCTTTAGTAGGAGAAACTCTCTGATTCTCTTTTGCAGTGGTCGCTGTCTTGGTGGAACTAGAAGATGTTTCTTTTGTTTTCGCAGACTGTCTCTCTTTCCACCATTGTTGTTCTTGAATCAAAGCAGGGACCTCCTTCCCTCCGCTTGGTTTTCCCTCGAGTTCTAAACTTGCTCGGAAACTTTTCTCCGCTTCTTCTAACGCCCCAGTGTTGTTGTTGTTGTTTATTTCGTTATCGTGGCGACTCAACTGAGCATCTCCTAGCATGTAGAGTGCACGACTGTTCTGAGGATGGAGAATGACACCTTGCTGGCATGTCTACAGAGAAAATGTGATCATTTTAAAATGGTATTTAGTTTTTACCTTATTTTAGGTTTTTTTCACGGGGGCGGGGCGATCCTTAAACAAGTTTTCCAAACAACTTGACAAAGATATTTGTGGTGTTACTCTGAGTGTATATCCACACCGGGCGAGCTTGAAAAATATGCCCGGCCACGGTGGGATTCGAACCTACGACCTTTGGAATACTAGCCCAATGCTCTTCCAACTGAGCTACGCGGTCAGGACGGTTCGAGTAAGTGATATTTCGGAACAGAATCTAGTTCCTTCGATACCAATGTATTCTAGTAATGCCCGGTGTGGATATACACTCAGAGTAACACCACAAATATCATATTCACCTGAGTACACTACACCAACACAGAAAAAAAACAACAAAAAAAAACCCAACTTGACAAAGGTTTCTGACGGCAAGTCAGTTAGTAATTTACGATTAGTGCATACCATAAGGATTAGTTTTTAGTGAGAGAGAAAAACTGGAGTACAAAGAGAAAAATCCTCGAGGCACAGCAGAGAGCAACTCAACTTGCACGAGTTTTTCAAGCACAGGGAAGTTATCATTGGGTAACTTCCCTGTGATTAAACAAATCATGCAAGTTGAGTTTAGTTGAGTTGAGGACAGAGATTTACTTAAATCTCTGACCTCGACCTACAGTAGTAGGCTTAAATTATATGTAAGCGGGCTGACCGCACCCATGTTTGCCAACACCAACCTTCTCTTGCAACTGCAACAAGGCGTTATCCTTTGGCAAGGATAAAACTTTCAGAAGCGAACATAAATTATCACAATGCGTCGCCACAACGGACTCCTGGATTCCTGCACCACCCTTCTTCTGAACTTCAACCATCCATTGCAACAAACAAGAATGAGCTTCCAGAAATGTTCTCTCGATCTGATGGTATAACTCTCCCTTATGAGTGATCGAGCACAATGCTCGAACAGCAAGCGAGGCTACCGATCGAAATATCTCATCCGGTTTCAAGAAATGGTTTGGGATTTTGGTTGCTGTGCTAGTCAAGGCTCTTCCAAGAGTAAGGAAACCTTTTAAACATTGAACGTTGGTGATGTCTAGTAGTTCACTGGAGTGAAGTTGGGTTGAAGTGCGGTCTGAGAGAGATTCTGCTTGCAGGGTTAGTTTATACAGGAGGTGCTCAAGTCCTTCGTGTACGTATTGAATTGCTTCGTGCTCTCTGCTCTTGTCCGCTTGTTGCAACAAAGCTAGCCCCAAATAAAACCTAGGATTGAAAAAGTAGTATTAAACACAAGCAGTGGAAACCGATTTTCATTTTACGGTAAGTGATTAGTTGAGGTTGAGATTGGCACAGTGGTCAATTCATAACACCTGCTTGATCCCCGAAACATTGTTAGGGTCAGGACGGGGGGGCTGCCAACATTCCTTGAGGGAGGAAACCAGAATATCCGGAGAAAACCCACGACGTTCGGAAGAGTTTGACTAACTCTTTTTACATGCTCGAATCCACGAATCGAAGAATGGGCTAAAAAGGCTCCCCCGCGCGCGTGCACCAATTACCCAAAATGCCATACATTTCCAAGGTATACAGCTCACGTGTTAAACTAAAATAAAAGCCTTCGCGGAGAAGAGTGCCTATACACCGTATTCTCTGGTAGATCAGTATCAAATTGAAGAATGTACCTGGATTCAACATTGACAGGTTTCAAACCCACAGCAATTTGCAATCTCTTCACAGCCTCGTCGTGTTTTCCTTGAAGCGACAGAAACCTCCCAATATGGAGATGATAAAGATAATTATCTGAAGCAAACGATGCAGCATCACAGTACTTCAAGTAAGCTTTACCAAACGTCCCTTCTTCATCTGATGCTAACTGGGCCACCTTACCATCCTACGTACAGTAACAACAATGAGCTATGTATATGGACTACCATTAAACGCAGATAAAGTGTCTATTTTAATGTATAACTAAGAACAAAAATACAAGTTTCTATGGTCCCAAATAGTGGTCCAGTTTTAAAATTTAAGTGTTTAGAGACCAGGAGAAGCTAGACCAGGGAGAGTGCTGAGGCACAGTGCAGCACTCTATACTGGAGGAAAGAGCCTGAGAACGAAGTTGCCAATGGTTCTGAACTTCTGGGAACAATTCATGCCAGATGCTTCCCTGGGGTCGACTGTTCAAAGCTATATTAGCGCTAAAATTTAAAATGCTGTTTTAGTTTATGAATTTCTGCATGTCTGATTTCAAAACTTCAGAGAAGAAAACTCTAACTCATCCAGACAAGATTTCTGAAGAAATATTTCCAAATTTATAAACAAGCTGTTGGGAAATTTGCTTTGAAACTTAAGTTAATCTAGGGTTAAGCTGATCGTCTTTCGAACAACCGCCCCGTTACACACATGGACGGATTACCCGTCAAGACGAACCCACGCGCACAACTTCGTCTGCGTAGGCAAACTACGAAAATAGTTCAAATTAGACCAACTTAGCCTCCTCCGCAAGCAACTTTGAGGGTTTTCCAAAAAGAGAAATTTTGTTAAAGACGGCGGTATTTTGTTAAAGGCGGGATAACGCAATATTTATAATTTCTTATCATTTTTTCCAAGAGGTGGGTGGTATAATAACAGAACATTTGTTTTGAATTTTTGATCAATTTCGTCGTTTGGGAACCCCACAGAGTTGCCTGCGGAGGGGGCTAAGACCAACTATGGGGCCCCAACTAACTTTTCTTTGCCCAAGTTCGTCAATAGTCCGTGGAAAAACTGTCACTATTGATGTGTTTGGGAAATTTGAAATATACAATTTTGAACGGTCTGTGTCAGTTCACCTTCCGAAGCTTTCTAATTTGAAATATACTCTATTCCTAAAACAAACCTGTGTTGCCTGCTTAGATTTCCATGCATATAATTTCTGCACATATTCACATCTATCAGACTGCTGACTCTCCAAGAGGTAATGATATTCCTGATCAATGGCTTTCAGTTGCAGAGCAAGAGGTGGGTTTCGTCCAAAACCTCGTTGTTCACAGATTGCTTGGATGTCGTCTTCTTTACTGCTATCTCGAGATCGTTGGTTAAAGTCGATGGCTGGCGTTTCTGTTTCTTCCTGAGAAAGAGTAAACCTTGATTTTATTGATACTGGGTGGTATTGGCCAGCACTTTTAATTAAACAACTTATTAATAATTCATGAGGTATAAAAAACAAAAGAAATCACTATCGTGTCGGTGGTTTCACGTGTGATAAAAATCATATTTAAGGTAATTCCGCAGTAATTGTTCCCGAAATGAGAATGTGCTGAAACTTCCCAGGCATGGAGTTTATGATAAACTTAAAGTAAAATCACACAAAAAAGTCGGGGTCACCGAACTCGTTAAGAAGAGATGACAATCACAATATACCACCTTTACCCCAATATGGCGCCATCTTGACGCTCATTACGAGTAACAGCAAAATCACAACAGCCCGATATTTACTGATGTTTTTAGCGCGGATTTTGCTTTAGTAAACCTATCTTGTAATTATTTTTGAAAAAATATTGTGTTTTGAGCAAAATGAAACTACGAACGTGTACAATTCTGATCCACAAATGTCTTTTCCACATTTCTTTACATATCTTTCTTTGAGAACATGCATTGATAAAGCATTTTTTTTCAAGATCCAGAAATGATTTTTCTTTTAATTTCGGATATGAAATGTAAAATGCATTAACGAAATAAATTATCAGTTAAAAAACGGGGGTCACCGATCTTTTTAGGGAATTGTGGCATTAAAACGTGAAATACAAATAAATAAATAAATATACTACAGACACAGGAACCCTAGCTACATTTTTGTATGCCTTTTTTGAAAACATTGATTTTAACGTAATTATTTGCACGAATGTAACCAAAGATGTTTTGAAGTAACATAAAATTGTCATAAAATGATCTTTTTTTTAAACGATACGTATAATGGATGAAATTATAAGTTATAAGATGTGCGCAGTAAAAGTGCGCAATGCAAAACTACCTTAATGGCGGAATTACCTTAATGGACCATTTGCATTAGCTATAGACTAAATTTTGATCTAAACAAGTTTAGACAAAAATTTCAGCACAGCTTGAAAGAGCATCACAAAATTAGTAATATTCCAAAGTTTCGTTGCGAAATGTTGTAAAATAAGCCTTGCGAAGTTTGCAGTTTTTCAGTCATTTTGCATTACGCGGGGGAAATTGACAGCCCAATACCCTTTGGGGCTGTCAATTTCCCGTTTGTATATTAATAGAAAATGACTGAAAAACGGCAAACTTCGCAAGGCTATTTTATCCGCATTTTACAACATTTCGCAACAAAACTTTGGAATATTACTAATTTTGTGATGATCTTTCAAGCTGTGATGAAATTTTTGTCTAGACTTGTTTAGATCAAAATTTAGTCTACAATGCAAATGGTCCATTACATGAACGTTAGCTTGGATTTTGCCGGCTTAGACAACGTTGATTTCTCACAGTCCGTGCTTTAAAGTGCCTATGACACGAAATTTCACCCGAAATGTTTATGGTTGCATTGCAAAGATCGCTTAAAATGACTTAATAATTTCTTTTATAGAATTTTGGTAACTTGCTTTCCTTTCAAGATATTCAACTTTGTTTCATATGCAAATACCACCGGTGTGACATCACATCACATAATGGCATTAATGAGTTTTCAGAAAAGTATAGTTTTCTTGACGAATACGTATCTAAAAAACTTAAAAATTGCCCTTGTATATGTATTAATTTCATAACTGGTAATTAACCCTCTGTATTTGTTTGTAAAAATATTTTATCAAGGTAAAATATTGCGTTTTCAAAATGCCATTATGCGATGTGATGTCACACCCGTGATATTTGCATATGAAACAAAGTTGAATATCTTGCAAAGGAAGCAAGTTACCAAAATTCTATATAAAAGAATTTATTAAGTCATTTTAAGTGATCTTTACAATACAATCATAAACATTTGGGGTGAAATTTCGTGTCATAGGCACTTTAATCAGGTACAATATAAGACACTCGGCTGTCGCCCTCGTGTTTTATATCTGATAAAATACTCCTGCTCGTGTTTCAAACATATGACATAATTTAGGTCAATACCTCTTGTTTAAATCCAAAGCAATCTTCAACAAAATGCATTTCTTCAAGAATCTGTCCCAGTTTAAAATGAAGTTTGCCATCTTTTGACGAGAGTTTGATAGCGGTAGCATAAAGTTCACTGGCTGTCCTAAGATACTTCATTGGTGATGAACTGCTGTCACAGTGTCGACTTTGACCTGGAAATACAGCAATGACTGGGTTTCACTACTGCATGGTGACACACTGACGTCTTCCTCCCAGCATTATAATTTGCGGGGCTCTTCCACTAAACTCCATTTGCCCAAGCCTAAGACTGAATATCTTAAAAAAAGTCTTAGCTATAGAGGGGCTAAACTGTGGAATAGTCTCCCAAATAAATTAAGAGGAAAAGAATCACTAGCTATATTCAATAAAAACGTATGACACCTGGCTACTAATTAGAGTTTTCAAACCCATATTTACCTTGACTATTTAATCTATTAATATTTACTATTATGTATGTACTATTATCTATTTAATTATGTATGTAATTGTAATAACTGCATGTAAGTAACTGTATTTGTATGTTTAATTTTTCTAAATTTTTAATGTAAATTTGAATTTAATGCTATACGCCCCCCTTGGAAATCAGCTTTTGCTGTAGGGGTTAGCGTAGTAAAATAAAGTTTTACCTACCTACCTACTGTGGTTAATAGTGAGAAGCGGCGTTTTTGTCAACACGGCGGACGTCACCCAGAAATTGGTAGAACTAATTTTGGCGGCATTTGGCCTCATGGTGCTCGTGTAAGGAAGCAAAAAACTTTAAAAATCTTACGTTTTGTCATATGTGTTGGGGAAGCCTCACATATCGATTTTTTCCACGAGAAACGTCATATGTTCGTTTGGAGGTGGGGGGGTTGGCAGCTGTGACGTTTCTCTGTAAACATCATGGAAAAAATCGATAGTTTTTATCTTTGCAGAATATAAAAAAGAAAACAATTTGATACAAACAGCAGTCTATATATTCGTAATACCATACCTGTTCTATACCTATACATTTATATTATTACGCCTTCCTTGCATTGAAAACACTCAATTTTGAGAAACGTTGGAAATTTTGAAGTTCATACTTATATTAATAAAAAAGAGTATGTCAGCAGAAGATGACATATTCCTCGCGGAAGCATCGCCAATAGCCGACCGAAAAAAATAGTAGAAAATTACCTTATGTGTACTCATAGTGTACTGTAAGAACAAAATATCGATAAATATGTGTGACGTTTCTAAGGGTGTGTGGGGGGGGGGGTCTCCAGAGAAACGAACATATGACGTTTCTCATGGACAAAATCGATATGCGAGGCTTCCCTTGACGATTACCACAAACTGATACAAACACAGTTTTTAGTCCAGTCCTCCCTCGGTAATCTGACGTCCTTGTTGACAAAAACGTTGCTTGCTTAAGCTCACTAATGTCTTTACGTTAACGCCCAGAGATATATTACAGTAATGCAGTTGTACATATATTTACAATTTCGTTTCAGTCCCATACATGTGGGAAGGCTGTCTCCAGTGTGACTCTAGGCTTAACACCCTGGTTTTTTCCAGGAACTCCTGGCTTCACATGTACTACAGTAACACTGGATCAATGATGGATGCCTCTTACTGGACCTCTAGAAAGAATAGTTTAAAACTGACAGAGCCTTCCAGTATAAATATAGTTAGATTAGGTGTCCTCCTGTAGTAACAGTGGATCAATAAGGAAGGACTCTTACTGAACCTCAAGGGAGAACAGATTACAACTGATAGAGTTATCCAGATAACATCATAACTAGCCTACACCATCAACCTACCAAACACCAGCAGATTTTGAAAATATAATTTTTCTTGCTCCTCTGCATTCTGTGTGATAATATCAACTGATTTTTCACTCGTTTCCTGCTGTAGTTTTTTCTCCCACTGTCTAACACCAACTTTAGGTAGACTTACTTCGTCTCTCAGTTTTGCACAACACATATTGCCTTTATGATTGTCAATCTCTGCAGACCTCACATTCATGTTACACTCCGGACATGAAACACATAAATTCTATAAATAGAGGTTAACCCATGAAGTTGCATTGCACCCTACTTTGGTATTTTATTCTGTCTAATGCCAGACCATTTGACTCATCAATGATTGTGTCTATCGTATATGATTTGGTCAGTCGTATAATTGATTGTAAAGTTAATAAATAAATAAACTTAAAATCATGTGCAAATGGTATATTTGAAGGACTGACAAAAAAATTAACATCCTCCTAACATAGCTAACAGCATAGAGACACCTTAATTACCTTCATCTTTTCTTCCAGTATTTTGTTAAGAGTAAGTTCTTCAGATTTCTCCACAAAACACAACCTGAACTCACATTGCTTCATGTGAAATCCAAGCTCACCCAACTTTGGTTTCTCGTTACAGCCATAACGTGCAAAGACACAGCAGACAGCAAGTGATGTTAAAGTCTCTTCCAAACTTAGCTCATTAACAAGCCAATCACCTGTTAACAACTGCTCATTAAGAGGATCTCGTTTGGTTGTCCTCGTTAACTCATCAATGCAAGATTTACAGAACACATGTTTTGGTTTGGTCTCAGCAATAGATTTTGGACAGTGAATTATCGCTAAGCACACTGGACAGCTATAATTACAAATATTACTAATATCTATTGTGGTAATATGCCAAGGGATTTTTGCTCTCTGAATCAGAAGTTGATAAGTTTTAGAAGTTGTTTTATCAGGAGAAGTCACATCAATGTATATGCATGTTTCACCACAGTTCAACTCCAAAGGTTTTGCGTCAGGGCTGTTTCGGACAACAACACCAATGCCTTTGTCAGGGGCTGCAGGTTTAACTTCAATGGTTGTGATGTGGTAGGGAGTAGTGGATGTATACAAGGTACAGTTAGGGTTAAATGGGGGTAATACAGTTCCTGAGGATAAACTTAACCCAGAGAGTGAGGCGTCACTTGAGGACAGGCGGGTTGTGTTGATGATGTAGTTCTTGATTGTACCATCTTCTGATGTAACTTCAACAGTGATCACAGTTAGGGCTCCTTCTTGTAGTGGGACAGTTTTACCACCATTTGAACCCTAAAGTAATCGAATGAACAATCTTATGATAGATTTTTAAAACATTATCACAAACTTCACATCAGGCAAGCTACAAACTTGCTTCACCTCGGTGGAAATCTAACCTGTGTGATCCTTGTTTGCTAGTCCACAAAACTCACAAAAGGTTGTGGGTTCGATTGCCACTGCAGGCAGCCAAGCAATTTTTCAGTGTGGAGTTTCACATGAAGCTTTCATGTTTGTCAACAAAATTTGACAGGTTTTAATTTGCTCAGCCAGTCGTATTTAACCATCCCTTACACGGATTGGCCGAGTTACAGTAATTGAAATCTTCAAATTTTCGTTATATATATAATATAGTCGCTGTCCTTTTCATAACCATTTTAACAGACTACTTCTGGGCTAGCCAAAACAATTAAAATTCAATCAATTACGAAGCTATATAAAGTAGCTAATACGTACTATAACAGCATTTTAGATCAGTTAACTAGATCAAAATGAACAGTCAACAAATATGAGTATATGAACTCAAATGCTCAATAAATCACGTTTCAAATATACTCACAGAAATCGAGTAACAAGCATTGTTGTCACTCGTCAAAGGGCTAACTTTCAGTTCTTTAACGCTACTTCCAACAACAAGCGAATACTCAGTAATATCTTTGTTAAATTTGGGACTAAGTTTTCCTGGAGAAACGCTTAATTTTTGAAGAGAAGCGTCGTCCATGTTGTTTTTCGAAATTGTCGCGCGAGTTACCTGGTCAACAGCGTCCTAGTAACCAGCGACTGTGACGTCATAAAGGTTTGAATGGACGAAACGAAAAAATATTTTTGAAATCGAATTAGGTTGAAATCGAATGGAATTTTATAACCAGAACAAGAAGGACTGTTAAGGCCCTAGTATTCCCTAGCTCTGGGTACGAGATGGCAACGTGGTTAGAATACCGGATTCACTCGTAAAATTTTGATTTCTTGACTCGATCATATCATCCTCTCCTAAAATTTTCCCCAATATTTTATCATATATCGCAATTTCAAGTATTAAGTGGTTCCTGAAACGGTTATATCCGACGTTGTGACAAGCGAATCCGGTATCGTATACAATAATATTTAAAATCATCTCAATTACGAAAGTCGTGCATAAATAGGTAGTACTCAGCAAATAGAATTACACCAATTTAGACTTTCGGTTTTAAATCGCACGATCCATTTTTATACTCCAAATTAAATTTGGGTGAACACTTAAAATGGTTAAAAAAACAGCCATAATGGCCACATAGATTGAGATCTCGCACGTCTGCTGTAGTTTTCCACAAAATAGGTCTTAATCTTTACATTTGTTGTGAGATATGTTATATCAGAGATCAAGTAATATAGTCCTAGGATCTTCAATCGTAGACTTGATCTTTCGTAAGAATGTTACTGCTTCTCTGCCATCAACTAAACGATGATCATAAGTCAAGGCAAGATACATCATTGGTCGGATTTCAACCTAGAACAAACAAAAACCATTGTTATTTTTGCACTGTTGTGACGTTTGTTTTGCAGCTTAAAAATTAGCATGTTGTTTGTGTTAATCTTTAGGAAAACTAGGGACGATCGTTTCAAAAACATTGTTTCCTGGCCATGTTTCCCGAAGGTAGGCAAACCAGGAAACATCGTTTCCTAGCCATATTTCCTAAAAGTAACAATAGCAGAGTAATTCTTGAAAAAACATCGAAATTTTCAAACATCCCTGCAGCAGTGTCCCCTACTTAACTGCTTTACTTAGGGCTTCATTAGCAACATTGAGAAAAAAGCTGTATAATTCCCAAGTCAATACCTTGCCATTAATAGCGACAGGTCTATCATTGATTGCATGAATCCCAAGGATGGCAGATTGAGGAGGATTAATGATCGGAGTTCCCATAAGAGAACCAAACACGCCACCGTTTGATATCGTGAATGTTCCACCATCCATTTCCTCGATAGCAAGATTACCATCGCGTGCCTAGTTAACGTAGGATACAAGATAGGATGACACAAGTATACTACTCTTGTATTTTGCTGCCCAATAATTACATGTAAATTTTTTCCTGGGTATGAGCTTGCCTGTACGTACGTACATGCAGAATTGGTTTGAACAGATTACGATGAACCAATGGACAACTTGCATGTTAGACTAAATTTTAATAAGTAAAGAGAAGGGAATCAAACACAACAGTTAAAAAGAACATAATGAAATTAGTAAAATTGCAAAATTTGGTTGCGAAATGTTGTAAAATACAGAAAATATAGCCTTGCGAAGTTTGCATATTTTCAGTATATTTGTATTACGTGCGGAAATTGCTACCATTTTTGGCTCAAAAATGGTAACAATTTCCGCACGTAATACAAACATACTGAAAATATGCAAACTTCGCAAGGCTATATTTTCTGTATTTTACAACATTTCGCAACCAAATTTTGCAATTTTACTAATTTTAATAAGTTCTTTACGGGAATTTACTTTTTTTTGCCTAAATCAAAAATTAGTCTAACATGCAAGTTGTCTATTCATAAAGTGAGCAACGAATGAAAATAAATTTATTTAAGTACCTTTTCTCCTAGAGCGTTAATGGTTTTCTCTATATCAGCAAAATTCATTGCCTCCACATTGCGAATAACTGGGACCACCAAACCCTAGATGAAAGTAATATACTGTATCTTTATCAGAAAACATGGCGGTGCACTTTGGAGACAATGGTTTGTCTCAAAACTTTGAGCAAAGGCCGGCTCCAAACGCCAAAGTATTGTTACTTTTTTCAAATAATAAAAAAACACAAACAACTACAAGGTTAAAAGTGGAACACCAAGAAAATCCCCTACCTTTGGCGTAGCAACAGCTACACTGACATCAATATAATCTCTATAAATGATCTGGTTATTATCGTCGTCAATCACTAAGAAAAAAATCCACAAAATTCCACCAAAAACATTTTGGTTCAAAATATAGGGCTGAGACTTAGCCGCCTAATAATTGTTCCCTTCCACCAACCCGCATTTAAGGACGAGACAATATGGCCTGATACTCAGGCTAGCAAAATGGTGATATATACCTGCGTTCACGACTGCGATATCTTGTAAGGCATGAGCCGACGCCTTCACAAATGCGGACATGAAACCTAGTTTGACATTATGTTTCTTGAGAAAAGCATCTTTATGCTGTTTACGCATTTCCATAATATTGCTGAAAGAATAGAAGGCAGTGCATTGCAAATCATTGCATATTGTGTGAAGTTAAGAATTGTTTGGTAGATTGAGGGAAGTGAAAAACTACGAATAAACCTCATATCAACTTCATTGAATGTCGTTAACATGGCTGCCGTGTTCTGAGCGTCTTTCAGTCTCGTTGCAATTCTTTGCCTCATACGAGTCATTTTTACCTACGCAATCAAAAAGTTTGGAAAATTTCATTCATATAAATGCATGAACAAAACATACAAAGTCAGCACAGTAATGTTGTTTGATAATAAAGTTCCATAAAGAACGAAACATGTTAAGAAAAAGGCCTAGTTGTACATGTTAACATGGGGATATATAGCCTCCCCAAGACGGAAATGATGGGTCATTTCAGAGTGCTTCTCTCCACAGAGTTTGTCTAGCCTGCCCCAACCAAACTGCCACAAATGCATGCCAAAGAGCCCTTCCTTACCCTGGTTTCACTTCTCGCTCCAGTGGTGCTTGGTGCAGACTGGTCAGGAGCTGCTGGTCGCAGTAGTGGTGGTGTTGGTGTCACAGTTTTTAATGGTTCTTTTGGAATCTCCGGGACTAAATAAAACCAAGAAAAGTTCTTATGACTGAACTAGTTGATGGAATATCCGCAAAACAGAACTGTGCAAATACAAACCTGGTGGGGGTGTGCTTGGAATTTCTCGTTCAACAACTTTCTCAGCAACAGGTGTGGTTTTTGGTGCTTCTGTCACTGGTGTTTCTGTTGGTTTGGGTGGTGCACCACCTCCACCTAATTAATAATAAAAAGTTTTGATGGACCTAAAAAATGTTGATGGAACAAAGACCCCCAATTTGATATATACTTCAATCATACTCCCCCCTTCTTCCCTTTCAATCTAGTTATTGCATGATCAAACCAATCAACCAGAACACCAACACTGAAAAGAGGGTTAGGGGAGAGAGTTCATTTTTACCATGATTTGATTTTTTCATATTGACTGAACCTATGATGGCAATTACTGTAGGTAAACATTTTGCAACTCATTGAATGATGCTACCATGCTTTCAAAAGTCAAAACCAAAACAGACTTTCAGATGAAGAATTAAATGCTGAGTAGACCCATATTATATTTATATATACCCAGCTTATATTTTCATCTTATATTGTATTATTCTATGTGAGTACCTGAAACATCAATTCTACACAGTTCTTGTCCTTTTTCAACCGTATCACCATCGGCAACAAGAAGCTCATGGATTACGCCCGCTTCTGGAGAACTTACTGGTAATGCTGTCTGTAAACAAAGGAATAGTTATAGCAGTGCTCCAGGAGCACCGCTGCCAGGAAATGTTTAACAAAATATCTTTGCAGGAAATTTTCTTACATCTTACAAGAAATCTTTGTCATTTTATATATCAGAATGCCCTATAATTTACTAATTTTTTCTACAAAAGCATTTTGCAAGTCAATGTGTGGTACCATACTTTCCCTGAAATCCACAAATGCAGGACATTTTATATTTGCAATCAAGTTTTATTTTTGATTTGTACAAAATGTTATCCAAATTGTTTTTTAACCTTATCTGTTTCAATCTCTCCAATGACTTCGTCTTCCTCTACTTGATCTCCAACAGCTGTTAGAACGTGAAAATTTGTTAATTAAACAAGTTCTCAGAATTCTTCATTTATATATCACTTTGATTGAAAAGTACCTTTCTCCCAGCGGATATCTCCCTCAGAGACAGAGTCAGGGAATGGTGGTGTTTTGACTGTTTTTATGTTTTCACCTATAAATGTTATCAAGATCAAATTATATACTTGTTTTTACCGCAATGTGTCATTAGAAGTAATTGTAAGTAGTCTCTAGTTGTTGTTGTAAATTTTTAGCACTGATGTAATTTAACCATTTTAGGTTACAGTATTGGTCTTTTATTTTTAATATGTAATGAACCACAATTAATGCACAGAATAGAGAACTTACAGAAGGTTGACTTCTTTGTCTGCCTATGATTTTGGCGTAACCATTGCAATGCTGTCAACATGTTCCTAGCCAGTGCGCTTATGAGAGGCCACACCACCCATAAAATATTCAAAATGGCAGATGTTCAGGGGGCGGAATGCCTCTCATATAAAGCACACTGGCTAGGAACATGGCAAGTGCATTTTAATAATGACAAATCATTGCAAACAATGGCATGGCAGTGGTTAAATGCTTTTTTGCATAATGACCCTATGTAAGGTTCCTATTCTGTGAAAACATTTCCCGATCAGTGAACATCACATGCGATTCATTATGTAATGGCCTGGCAATGCATCTTCATACAGTAAGTGTTTTGGCAAAATTTACAAGGTATCAATGATGTGGTGAAAAACAAGTCATAAAATACACCAAAATATTAATTTACAATTAATTTATATTGGATTAACATTTGCATTAAATATTTAATTATATTTCAAATACATTTCAAGATAAACTTGTCAGACGATGTAAACTCACCTACAACAGCCGAGCAATGAAAATACTTTGGTGTACCATAACTCTGCCTAAATAATGGTGTAGTTTCAAGCCTTAACAAGCAGACCTTGAAATAAAAGCCGATCACCGACCAATGGTCAGCAAGAAATTGTTTATGATCGGCAGAAAAGCAGGGTTTGAATCGGAAAAAGCTGCGAAAGTCTGGACTGACAGTCACCATGATCGGGAACTTTGGGAACGCTATTTCAAGCCCTGCCTTAATTAAGAATCCATATCATAAAATATAAATTATGGTATATTTAGCCATTGCTCTAGTCTGATAAAAGTTTTCCTACTGCAAATTCTAGCCACTTTCAGTGTCCACAGCATTCTCATACCCAGAGCCCTTCTTACACGCGGTGCAACGAGGGGCTCTGGCCAAATCCATATCCGAACTGGCATCTGATTGGCTAGTTCTAGCACAGGATATTGTTTTCTTACCATGTTTTCATGGTATCCGGTTATGGATTTGGCCAGAGCCCCTCGTCACAGAATACTACACAGAAGTCCATCTCCATTGTTTTTAGCGTAAGCTCTATTCGTCATGATTCGTCACTCAGCAAGTACCGTAAACAGAAGCAGTCACCCCCCTGGACGTGCGCCATTTTTAGTATTTCCAGGGGGTGACTGCTTCTGTTTGCAGTACTTGCTGAGTGACGAATCATGACGAATAGAGCTTACGCTAAAAACAATGAAGATGGACTTCTGTGTAGTATTCTGTGCCCTCGTCGCACCGCGTGTAAGAAGGGCTCTGGGTACGAGAATGTGTCTGCAGGGAATAACCGGAGAAAGTAGATGCTCTTTATTCTATCCCTATACTCAAAGTCTTGACCAACGGCACAATATTGGTACTTAATTTTCCCAGGCTAGTGAGCTGATTTGCAGATGCTGAGAACCGTAACCATGTAACGTTGAAGGATTCATCTTTCCACAAAAACATATTAAAACTTAAACTTATTATAAGTGTATTTACTACATTTCTGTACAGTACACTACCTACCTCAAGAAATTGTACTTGCTGACATTGCTTATTCGACCCTCTACTGTTGATATGTGTAATTCTGCATAATAAAATTTCATCAAACTATATGAATTCTATAATACTTCAATAATCCTGCTAACTTTATAAAACCATAAGTAACAGACATACTTGATAATGGTTTTTGACTTGCCCTTGCCAAACTCCGAGTCTGTGTGACAAAATATTCAAATCAAACATCAATCACTAATATTGCACATGAACGAAAGTTATTAAACAAAATACATTGCATACTCACAGCATAGCCACAAAACGTATTTCGAAAACTTGCTCTTTGCAAGATCTTTGACGCTTTTTCAAACAGCATTTTTGCTGATGAACTATAAAATTTTTATTATTTTGAATATTTTGATAATTGGGGAAGAATAGAACCCAGTCTTGCCATATTCCCGCGCGGTTTTGTGGGCTCTTGACCTAATCTTTGCTCTTGATCTTTTGCGAAAGCCTTGGCAGTGGTCCAGTGGCCATGCGCACACAAGAATAACGAGAGCTATCTGCTGAGCAAAAATTCACTCGTGACCATTGGCGAAAATTCACTCGTGACTGAATATTCAACATGTTGAATAATTTGACACTATAGTCTTCACTTCGCCTTCATCTTTTCTAGTGAATTCATCGTCTTGGCTAGACATATCTTTAAATTTCAACCTTCGGCGGGCAAAATACATGTGAATAATATATATTTAATACTTTATACTTTAAAATGAATTTTTTTGTACACTAATTTGAAATTTCTGAGCCGCCTCGCACATCTCTCGAACTCGCAGGACCGGCGTGAATTTTCCTGTGTCCTGATTGGATGATCCCCACGCATGCGCTACGTGTCAGATTATCGCGCATGCGTTTATTTCAAAGATTCGCCAAACACCGAGCCAAAACGTCCCACATGCACCACACCAGGCAACTCCGAAATGTTACTATCAGTGGCGGCGGAACAGGGGGGGCTAGGAAGGCTAAAGCCCCCCCAGAAGTGAAAGTGGGGGGGCTAAGCCCCCCCAGAAAATTTTGTTTTCTCTGGAAAAATTTAGATAATTAAGGAAAAATGTAGGTTATTTTTGGAAAATTTAGGTATAAGGGGAAAAATTTGGGATATTTTGTGTAAAAATCGAGTATGTCCGGAAACATTTTTTGTTATAGGTCCGGAAAAATTTTTTTCATCCCTTTTCTTGTATATGTATATGTCCGGAAAAATTTTTCTACCCCTAAAATGGTACACTGACCGAAATTTTTTTGGCGACGGGGGGGGGGTCACGGAAAAAAAATTAGCCCCCCCAAACTGAAATCCGTTCCGCCGCCCCTGGTTACTATTACTTGTGTGTGGTAGTTATCGATCATAGGATCTTGCGAAAAGGGTGCCAGGCATAATGGTCTGGGGGCCGCCGGCACCCTCCCCCGTAGTTCGTTCGATACCGGTTGGTAAGCCACCTATTCACCGCCTCTGACGATAGCGTTGAGTTTAGCAGAAATCTAGCTTAAACGTTAACATACGGCGTTCTAGCGGCTAGCACGAGACGGACTTGACCGATACGGGCTAGCAAAGTCGGGAAGTATGAACTGATGGGGCACTTTTCTTTTTAAAAAATTTATTTCTAATTTACCATTCGATATAAAAACAGATCTTCTAATTTACCAATCAATTGAATTGCGACTAAACAAAGTTAGCAGTGTGTTTTGTGTTTTTTTATCTAACTTATAAAAATCTAAAAATCTATCTTTACTACATTTTTATGTCATATCAAATTTAGAAACAAGATTAAAAACCTAAATTAAACTATTTTAAGTTGTAAAGTTTCACGCCAGGATATATATTTCGCTATTTTGTAGGTACCCGTCTACTTTCTGGTCCGCCTTCATTTTAACCAATCAGATCACGATCCAAAAAAACTCTTAATCTGATTGGCTAAATGAAGTGATCCGTTAATCCCACCAAGCTAACCAAGCATATTCACCCGAATTTCCCGAATACATATTACACCAACACACACAAAATAATTGGTAATGTATTATATTATTCCATATTTTGAGCAAAATTTGTCGTCTTTGGTACCAGAACAATCACACACTGTCACTGAGCAAAACATTTTGATAAATGTCCTTTGACTCTCAACAGTCAAATGGCGGGAATGCGCGGGAACGCATGAATTTTATTTTCCCGTAACTTTCAATTTTGTTTTCCCGTTGCAGTTAATTTTATTTTGCGGTGACTCAGTTTATACTTTCGCTGTGACACTTGTGGGTTACCCAAAACTCTTCCAAGATATGTTTGTGATGTACTCTGAAGGCTAATTTCCACTCAGGAAAATTATCCGTGGATTGGAACGGACAAGAAAATTTTTCTTTGTCTTGTGAGCTGGGTTGGAATTAATGACTTTAACACAAAGAAAAATTTTCTTTGTCTGATAATCAGACTCTGATATAAGATAAAGATCGGCTGCTCATGTTTTAACTAGTAATCTTAAGATAAATATTAATATTAATGCCCAGCATAAAATACGTAAAAGAGCCATAAAAAATATAGTTTAGTTTTGTAATAGCATAGTTGCCCGGGTTTCTTTTGTTTCAACAGGGACGTTTAATCACGTATCGCCCGCTGTAGCGGGCGATTAGTTCTAATCGCCCGCTAGAGCGGGCGATTAGAACTAATCGCCCGTTACCAAGGGTCACACCTTTGTCTCCCTGACGACTACGCATTAGGCAAGTGCCTCACGCACATAATCGTGCAAGGAACAGCAACAGTTAGCTCAGAGCCGTCAATAGTCTATCCAACCTCGTTCCCAGGGTCTCTCCGTCTGTCATCTGGGAGAGACCCTGGCTGCGGCTGGTCACGTGCCTCCCAGATTCTGGGAGGTAAATTTAATTGTAACTGTGAGAGGGGTGGGAAAGGAGAGTGTTTGTAGCGTTTTAAAATTGCAACTTTGGGTGATGAAATTTACTGTAAATTTGCAACAAGAAATCGTAATTATAAAGAGAACTCTTGAATTATATTTATGTCGTGACGTTCTACTCTATAATCTGGTGTCGAGTTACAATTCAAGCAAGTTGGATCAGATTTCATTATAGACTTGCCAAAGAAAGCACGCTTGCCGCTTGTGCAGCGTGGCAATATTAAACTGTGATTAAACCTACAAGAAAATATATATCTCTAGACCGAACAGTGTGGTTGTTATTTATTTAGTATTAAAGTTTATCCTGATACTCGGACCAAAAGAATTTATTTATTGATGAGATGTGGAATTGCAACGAAATAGCGAGATCTTTTGATTTCCGAAATATCGCCAACTGTATCCAGATTGTTGATCTATATAAAGGCCTTATCAAAAAACTTAAAGCCCGTCAAAAGACTATAAAATTGGCCCTTGGCATTGCTGAATCCAACGATCATGGTATATGTCAAAGTATAGCTGTCTGTTGAAAATCTACGGTATTAAAATCATACACCAAAGATAAGTCAAACGGCAAATTATATGTCACTGTATTATACATGTCTTTCAATGAGCACTGTTTAGTAGTGTTCACCACCTTTATAAATTTTGTAAACAGCTTTCGTTTTGACATGAATAAGCTTTAATTTTTTGCTTTATATGCATTCTTAATATATACAAGTGAGATTTAAATTTTTGCTTTGTGAAATAGAATACCGTTATTTTTTAATGGACAGCTTGCATCGTCTATATCATATCCAGGATTGCTTGTGTGTAAACGCATTATTCACTATATGACATTGACACTATCAAATAAATATAAGTAGCAAATGATTAATGAGTTAGAGATAAACAGGTGATTCACAATGAAAACTTTAAAAATGTTAGTAGAAGTAGAAAACTCGAAAATTTATGTCTATTCGTATGACGCCAAATGACGGTCTGGTCTAGATTATAGTATATTAGCACAATATAATGATTAATAGAGACCAAGAAAAAGGCTAAAGTCTTACTATAATTACCGAATACGAATTTATGTAGTAAATCCAGATAAATCAATGACTGAAATTTCCTCTATGCTTATGGACATTTCTCTGTTCGGCTATTATCAAATGTTTACATTTGCTAATATTTGGGGCCAATCTCCTAGACAATACTGTTTCTTTTAAAAATCTTATAAACAAGACGCGTAGTAACAAGTGAATCGGTGCAAAGCGTATCAACGTTTACAAGAAAGGACAAATGTAATGGCCTATTTTAAAAACATTACAACAAACGTTTGTTATAACCGCGCTCGAGTGTGAAGAGAGCATGCATTGAATAACAACACGAGAGAGCACTGCGAGTAACGATTCGCTTGGTTTCTTGGCTTGACTGTAAGTAAGAATGTAACAATGTTCTTGTAAATTCAAAGCAAAGAAAATAAACAAAAATTAGCAAGTATTTTGAACGTAATAATTCGCAAAATCTATGTTTTTAACGAATATCCCACTAGAAGCATGTTGATGTAATTTGATACTTTCCCCACACCCCCTCAGGCGCTAAATTTTTGATGAAGCACGTGACCAGCCGCAGCCAGGGTCTTTCCCAAAGAAAGATCCTGGGTACGAGGTTGTAGTCTATCATCCGATCCCTGAGTTGCCGCATCATTTAAATTACGCACGTGCAGTCTCCAAATTTATACTAATATATTTAGCGTGTTTGTTGTGGTACGTTAAATGATAGATTGCGCATGCGTAACCGATTAAAGCGTAAAAAGTGCGCATGTGCAACAAGCTTTTACATCCCACAAGCAATGAAGCAAATGTTTTAGCTTAAATACGCTGATTCCAAGTAGGGCATGTTTGTCCATTTTTAAATGGGAGCGAAACTATGCTATTACAAACTAATAGCATGGCTTTTCGGGAGATTAGTGATTAAATGACCCCTTACCCTCGGCAGGTTTGCGGAATTCCCTCGGGCTTCGCCCTCGGGAATTCCGCAAACCTGCCTCGGGTTACGGGGCCATTTAATCACTAATCTCCCTCAAGCCATGCTATTACTTATAATTATGGCTCTTTTACGTATTTTATGCTGGGCATTAATATTACGATTTCCGCCTGGTTCATCTATCGCAAGTATTTTAACTACACTCTACAGTACTTTGTGAAACTCGTTAATTACGGTCGGTCATGGGATTTTGGGTATACAGGATCTAAAAGAAAAATTTAATTCGAGTATTACTGTATATTTTCTTCGATGTTATGACTAATTTTGGGTATTAGGTATACAGTCTTCTGGCAGTTTTAGGTATATTTTATAACATTTTGACCGTATTAATACTAATAGGTATTTTGATCCATATAATATAATTCATGAAGAAAACACAAAAGAAATCATGAGCTTGAAGGAGTTTGTATATCTGATACAGAATCATGCTGATTTACATAATTCATAAACTTTAAGTTTAATTTTCTCACCAAATATCATTCATTTATTGAGACGTTTCACAAGCTATATAACTAAGCATTCGCGTTTATAGTGTTGTGTCAGACATACAACCTCTCGCCTTCGGCTTCAGCTCGAGTTTGTATATCTGATACAACACGGCCGCCCTCATGCTTTATCTAGTACTTAAAAACACAGGGGAGGACTGGGATTATGTTATTCATAGAAGGTTTTATGTGCAGTATAAGAAAGTATAAGTACTTTTCAGTAATCGGTTACATGAATTATGTAGGAGGCCATGATAAGCCGTGGTAGCGAGCGTCCAAACGGTTCAAACGCGTGAACCAAAACGTCAAACGGTATTAAAGAGAAGCCTCACATATCGATTCTGTCCACGAGAAACGTCATATGTTCGTTTCTCTGGAGACCCCCTCGCCCCCCTCCACTCCCTTAGAAACGTCACACATAGTTATCGATATTTTGTTCTTATAGATATAGTACACATAAGGTAATTTTCTACTGATTTTCTATGGTCGGCTATTGGCGATCGATACTTCCGCGAGGAATATGTCATCTGCTGCTGACATATCTTTTTTCATTAATATATATGAACTTCAAAATTTCCAACTTTCTCAAAACAACTTTTTTTGCATGAAATATTGATAATTTTAGCGCGTTTTTCTTAAAATTTGAATGACTGTTTACAATGCGAGGAAGGCGTAATAATATAAATGTATACGTATATAGAAGAGAAACGTCACAGCTGCACTTCCACACACCCCCAAACGAACATGACGTCTCTCGTGGAAAAATCGATATGTGAAGCGTCCCTAAACCGTCGACGTTTGTGACCGTGTTTATCGTTCGACGTTTTTGACAAGGCTCAGTGCAACGTTTCACGCACTAGTAATCCTTTGTAATGCAAAAATAAACAGGCTAACAACCGTTAGCTGGTTAAGAAAACAACAGTTAATTTAAGAAAAAACACGCAGCGCGAGATGCAGCGTGGTTTATATATTGACAAACTTCTGAGAATCCTTGTTAATTAGGATAACGTTGGTGTTCATGGTCGTGGGTTATTAATACTTTCGTTTATTTATATTTTACAAAAGTTAAGAAGTTAGTTATCTAGATATTTTTCAAGGAATTAGGAAACGACATAACACGCAACTTGCTCACAACTCGAGTTGTACTGTGCAAATCCAGCACTCGGACTCACCTATGACAACGCAGGTGATTTGTGCGCTTGATTTACACAGTACAACTCAAGTCGTAAGACAGTTCAGGCAAAAGTTGTGTGGTGTAAATTGGGCAATTGCCAATTGGCCTATACTTTCTATAGAGTTATCTTGAAATTTTCTTAACAAAGGAGCCCACGTGTGTTCATTCTGTGACGCAACTAATTCCGGAAATAATGCGCTTAAAAATCACATAAAATTCACGAGAACGCATAAATCACTTACATAAGCACTAGGTAGTTATTAACCAAAACATTTAATGTTTTATAAATTGGGTGTTTTCGATTTTTAAAAGAAAAAGCTAAAATTATTTTGATCAGTTAACATGAGAGTTGCTATAATCGGTGCAGGTCCCTGTGGACTGACATCTATAAAAAGCTGTCTTGATGAAGGCTTGGAGCCTGTGTGTTTTGAAAAAGGAACAGACTTAGGTGGTCTGTGGAGGTATACAACAACGGAAACAGGTCATGCAAGTGTGTACAATGCCTGTGTCATGGTCACAAGTAAAGAAATGTCCTGCTTCAGGTAATTATATCAGTCCAAGGTAATTATATCTGTCCAAGGCAAAAGCACATTTAACTTGTATGAGTGACTAACACTATATATAGTAACAGAAAAGTAGGGCTTCTAGGTTGACCGCGAAAAAGCACCTATATCCGATACGACTGTGTGAACGTAGCCTAAACGGCAACATACATATGTCACAGGTTTTCTCAAACCAGTACTTTAAATTTCTCATGTAGTGATATGCTGATAGATCTGCAGTAGAAAAAAATTCAGTTTAGTTTAGTTCACTCTATTAGATTACTTTATTGCTTAATCAAGTTACCATTAAATAGTTGTATATTAGTATTTTAGAATTTTACTCCGTTATTAACGTATATCAGTCAAATATATATAGCCCTGTTTTCAAACCATGCACAAGAGAGACATGTATGACGTTACTTCGACGTTTTACAAGAAGTTGTTTTCATTTTATGTGACGTCTATTACGTATGTGACGTCAGTTATTATCGTTTATCAGTCAAACCACCAAAAAACATATATATGACTGCTGAATTTTTAGACATGCTTGACGTTACTTTGACGTATATTATGACGTTTGTTTTTATCATAAATTTATATTTTCTTGTTTTGTTCTTCAGTGACTTCCCAATTCCCAAACACCACCCCCTCTATCTCCCCCACGTCTTAGCCAAGTCGTACCTTGACCTGTATGCAGATAACTTCAACCTTCGCCCTCACATTTCATTCAACACCAAAGTTCTCCAAGTTCTCCGCAGCCAAATGGGTAACAAAGATCAGTGGAAAGTCACGTATGAGAAACGACCCAGTCAAGATGAACCAACAAACACTACAGAGACCCAGGTTTTTGACGCTGTCCTAGTGTGTTCTGGCCACCACTGGCAACCATACATACCACAGTTACCCGGTGCGGAAAAATTTCATGGTGAAATTATCCATAGCAATTCTTTTAGAGAAACTAGGGATTTTTATGGTAAAAATGTGCTTGTCGTTGGTAAGTATGAAAATCCATGTTAAAGTTTTCAGGCAAACGCTCGCAATACGTTCCACCTTTCTACACTTGATCCCCACGCTTGCCTACGCCCCTGTCTGGAAAATATCTCTTAGGCTTAGCGCCAAAGAGTGGGTAGTTAATCGTCCAGCCATCCAGGGGCATGGTCCCCCAGAAAACGTTTCTACTTTTAGGGTCAGCGGAACGCTATTTTGTGCATTTTAGACACGAAGGCCACAGATTTGATGTATTTTATGTCATAGATGAAAACATTAAGGGGTTACGCCCAGTTACTTCTCAGTAATGAAAGAATTACAAAATTGGTCCGGAAGTGAAGTGTGTGTGTGTGTGGAAGTGGGGAGGACTACCCCGTGGCTACGCCTCTGTTTTCCAAGGGTGGGTAGTAGCGAAGTAGTTGTAGTTCGCTACTGTAGCGAACTACAATTTTGAGGGTAGCCAGTAGTTTTTGACTACTTTTTTAAAACAGTAGTTTAAGCGAACTACATTTTGCCTAAAAGTAGCCAAATAGTTGATTACTTTTCAAACAGCGAATCGCTATTCGCTACTTTTTGAAATTGTTAGCAACCGTTCATAGAATAGAATAATATTAAGACACGGTTTGCTTAAAAGATTATTTTGTACAGTAAAGATTATTTTAGCGCAATGAAAAGTGGCACTCCTGAACACTGTAGTGCTTACAAAAATGTTGCTTTGACCTTTTTTGTTTACTGTTGCTACTCGTAAGTCAATTTGTTATAGGTTATGTTACAGGATTTACAGCCTGAGCTAGTGGATGCTCCAAATACCGTAAAACTAAAAAATATAGAGTAGCGAAATAGTTCGCTACATTTTTTAAGCAGTAGCTGTAGTCAGTAGCGAACTACCTTTGTTCAAAAGTAGCAGCAGTAGTTGTAGCTGACTACATATTTTTGAAGTAGCTGTAGTTATAGCGAACTACAAAAAATTTGTAGTCAACCCACCCTTGCTGTTTTCAGGTAGTTCAGAGACAGTGTTCTATAATAAGTTGGCGTGGTTTGTGCCTACACTGGTTTGGGCCCTCGCGGTTTGGTATCTTTTTCAGGCAGTTCGGACACAAAACCACAACAGCGATATCACAAATGAAGACTGCATGGGCGGTTCTTCGATTGATTGATAATTCGTTCAACTAAATCATTATTTACGAAATCTTATCCGCTAAGCGAGATCAGCGTGATCTTATCAGCCACATGGTTAAGTTTTTAAACCGATAAACAAATGTTTATAGAGACGAAAAATTAAGGCGCACGCAACGCTACAATCTTGGCAGTGGCGTAGCTAGAACGATAATTGGGGGGGGGGGCATATTCATATATTCGTGTTCTGCTTAATTAATTTCTTTTGAAATAAATTGTTTTATGGTATGTGAACACGAATATATGAATATGGGCACCCCCCAATTATCGTTCTGGCTACGTCACTGAATCTTGGACAAACCCCTTGAGACCATTCCAGCCAATATTACGAAGTTATTGAACATTGACAAAACAAACTTTGTCCCCGCCTCCCAGTTCAATGTTGTAAACAACGCCGACATAACTTTTGCAAGCTAGCTCAACATTGAGTTGAGGCTTAAGAAGGGAAACATGATTCAACATGGAGTTTATAATAAAAATAAACGTCATCTCAGGGACCCAGCAACGACTCTTACTGAGTCCCTGAGATGAACACTTTATAGGCTTGATAGTTACTCTGCATAAATAACTTTACCCCCGTCAAATTCTTAATTAGGTATTGGTGACTCTGCTGTTGCTATAGCGACAGAGCTCAGTCAGGTGGTGAACAAAGTATATCTCAGCACAAGACGTGGTTCATGGATTACTTCAAGAATTCAAGCGTTTGGTATACCCAGCGACCAATTTTTGCAACGACGGTTTTTCTTCGATCTCCCTCGCGGCCTCACAGACTGGGTGTGTATGAAGGTTGTCAACGCGAAGTTTGACCATCGCAACTTTGGTTTGTTGCCTAGCAACAGTTATTTACAGCAGCCGCCAGTTGTGAACGACTTCCTTCCGTATAAGATTATAAGTGGAGCTGTACTTATTAAGCCTGATGTCTCCACATTGACAGAGAAAGGTAATATTTTAGGTAGTAGTTGTCCAACTTTAATTTCACTTCAGTTCAGCAAAGCATCAAAGTATTAAAGTAAAGCAAAGTAAAACAAAGCAATAAAAGCAACGTAAAGATTTAATAAATTAGGTCATATCTCGCTCGGACGTTGGTCAGGGGCCTTCGGGATTTATCTGGCTTAAAGCCTCCGTTCTTGGTGTTTAACCTATACTTAGTTTAGTAGCTGTTCTCATCCACTTAATATAATGTCTTAAAACATTCATGTTCTTCGCTAACAGATGTAATCTTCGTGGACGGTTCGGTTGCCAAGGACATTGACACCATCATCCTAGCAACGGGCTACAATTATACATTTCCATTTCTCGACGAAAACATGGTCAAATTCAAGAACAACTCCCCCATGATGTACAAACACATGTTCAGAGTTGAAGAGAAGCCGAGCATTGCATTCATAGGGTGCCTACAGCCGGTCGGGTGTATGTTCTCTGTAGCTGAACTCCAAGCACGGCTAGCCACAAGAGTGTTCAAGGGTTTGGTCAAGTTACCCGCGATAAGAGAGATGGAACAAGATATTGCTGAAAACCTTGCAAGGAGGGAGAGCGAGAGTTATGATGCTAAGAAACACTCCACAGTGGTAAGGTTTAATTAAACATTGTAGATATTGGCGGCACATTGTGGATATTGGCGGCACATTGTGGATATTGGTGGCACAATGTAGATATTGGCGGCACATTGTAGATATTGGCGGCACGTTGTGGATATTGGTGGCACATTGTAGATATTGGTAGCACATTGTGGATATTGGTGGCATATTGTAGATATTGGCGGCACATTGTGGATATTGGTGGCACATTGTGGATATTGGTGGCACACTGGAAGGGCATCGAGCGCTGTTTGACCCTGTAACATTTAGCGGTCTGAAATCGGAGTTGGAAGCGGAATAGTTTTAACATTCAATATTCCCTACCTTATTTCTATCTTCAAATATGTAATAAGTGGCGACGTAAAAGTACCACTAATTTTTTATTGAACTATTCCAAACGGGGAAAAATAAGGAGAGGAGGGTGGAAAATTGTCATCTGACAGTGTTGCATATCTTGCTTCTATAAAGCTCTCTGTGACGAAGTCTTCCACTGAGTTAAATTGTCAAGTATTCTGAAATTAATATTTGATTATTTATTGAGACCTTTACAAGTCTCTTCAAGTGCCTCCACAATGCAGGAAGCGTTTCAGAAACGCAAAATTCAATTTGGGGGATCATGGCCCTGGACGTTCCGAGAATTGTGATTCGCCAATTATTAAGTTGAACCCCCAAACAAAATCCTGGTGGTACCACTGCAAATACTGCAGGTTTTCCAAGGGTACTCCAGTTTGTTCCAGAAGAAAAAACACTCTAGAACCGATAAAGATATCCAGTATAAGTAAAGTTAGGTTGGTTACTGTGGGTTTCCTCCTCCTGGACATCCAGGGAGAACAGTTTAGACCCGATAGAAATATTTAGTATACAAAAATAGTTTCTTTTTACATTTTAAGGTGTATTACATCCCATATTGCAACAGCTTGGCCGAGATTATTGGATGCAGGCCTCGTTTGGGTAGAATGCTGTTTTCCGATCCCTTGCTAGCACTTCGCTGTTACTTCGGGCCATGCTCGCCACCGCAGTATCGGCTCACAGGTCCGGGAGCCTGGGGCGGAGCAAGACGAGCAATCATGGAAATACAAGAGAGAAATGTCGCGCAGATGAGAAAGAAAGTCTTGGGAACAAGTTACCAAAACGTTCTTATTAAAATTGTCGTTGGCTTGCTATGTTTATACTTTGTGTTAGTTCGTGTGGTATTTCAGTAATAGTGTGGTTATACTTCATGTTATATGGTATTTCAGTAATAATGGGGACTACACTAATTTCAATTTGAAAAATAACATTCTGAAGTCTTGCTTTGTAAAGCGTGATTTTCATTTGGTCGTGATCAAGGTGGAATAGAACCGCGACCAAATATAAACAGCTTCAATAGGTATTGGATTCACACGAATGAGAATAATTTAAAAATTCACAAGTTATTTTCACCGAACAACATCAGTTTTTGTGGTACGTTTTTATTTCATGGATAAACTTAATCCAATATCAATTTACACCCAAAATGTATAAAAAACTTCACCAACTCTTTCCGGAGGGTTTTGGTTAGGCATACCCCGTTGCCCCTTCGAAGTAGAGTGAGAGTAAATAGCATCTGCTGTTTTTCTTAGGGCTGTTCGTGTGGGCTATTTATATGAGCCAGGTTTGCCGGGCTGGCCCGGTTAAACGGGGCACCCGACTTCATACTAATTTCCTTGACAAATAATTTCACTTTACGTGAAAACAAAACTTTCCAAAAAATTTTCCAAAAAACTGTCCAGCCCTCACTGGAGTAACAGGACTAACAAGGGCTAGCAAAAAAGTCATTGAATTCAATGTTGGGAGCAGGCTAATGTTTATCTGAATGGATATTCTCTAGATAATCTTTTATTTCTTACGTCGGTCTTAAGAAATTTCAAGTAAAAAATTGAGTAGTTTAAAAATTGAAAATTTGTCCAACAAAGCATGAATTTGCCATTCGTGACAGACATAATTCATAAACAGGTTTCCCTCGCCAGTTTTGGCTTGCTAACATCTCAACCGGCTAACAGGGCCAGCTCGGCGAGCCGGGTTTGTATAAATAGCCCCTCAGGCTTGTGGAAATTTGTTACAATGGACCTATATTTGAAATTTCAATACCGCACCCCACCGCCGTAGACCTAATGTTTGAAATATAAAAAGTTTGATTCATATAAAAGTAGTTAAGAGCTTGCAACAACTTGTTACAAGAAATAGCATCCGGTTGTAAGCACCTTGTAACGACTTGTATTAATACGACAAGAAAAAGTTGTCACGGTGCTGTTTCATGAAACTATAGCTTTTCTTGACAAAGGCTAAGTACGTAGGTAATATAACATATATCTATAATAATATATACCTTATTATGCGTTTATTTACAATAATTACACAGCAGTGCTAACACTGGAACTACCTGACAAGGAAAAATAACAAACACAAAATTAGTTCAAATGATTTTAAAAATTACAATATTATTCTATTGTTGCTAATTGTGTTCTATTTCTTTTGTGTACATCGCGGTGATTTAGAACTCAATTAAAAAATCATTGATAATTCATGAGGGGGGGGATCGTCGGATTTCATAGAAAAAATTGTCCGGATTTCGGATCTGGCGAATGTTTTACACGGATTTCGGATCTTATTTATACAGCAGATTGCGGATTTATCTAATATTTTGGCTCGGATCGCGGATTTTGCTTCAAATCGGCGGATTTGTATACCCCTATTTCACCCCC